TGTTTGATTATTATACCATTTAATTTCGACATTTAATTTTGGAGTGTTGAGCATAACATTCTGTGTAATACTTTGTAGTAAAACAGAACCCTTTTCTGACATTAATTGAAAAACAAAACTCTTTAAAAAAATAGTTTGTTTCATAAGAACACACTGCATTTCATATCAGTGTTACTTAGACGATATCTTCAATACGTTGGATAGCATATCATTCACACTACTTTCTTTATGCCTCGTGTTACTGTCATACTATATAACTATAAAACACCCTATTGAACTAATGTTGTTACTTTTGGTATTATAACATCAACTATCTAGATATTTTACCGCATAATGGTTACCATATCAAAATCCATATAACCAAACTTTAAATATTCCATAACACACAATATTTACTAAATACTTGACCATAATCAAGTCAGATGTTCAAACCATACAAATATAAAGACAAGTAGTAAACATAAACAAAATAAACACACAGCTGATCCTTCTTTTCCATTACATATCCAACATAATTTATTTCACTGTCTCTTCTTTCCCGGCTCAACATATACCAGTATTTCATCAGCTGGCGGATATCGAATGAAAAAATGCATGATGTCTCCTTTCTTTAATTCTTCCTGTTTAGCAAATTCATACCAACCAGTCGTGAGATACTTCTTTCCTTCATCGTTATTCCTCACTTTCACTACACAATTCTCTGAGATATCCTTCTCCGAATCATATAACTCAATCGAGCTGGTCAGTCCACTAAGCCACTTCTTAATCACTCCACGCGGTAGTTGTTGAAAAAACACATTCGTAAATTAGATGACGTTCAACCCTGAAAAAGATAAATATACCGTTGCAACAATTAACTTCTACTGCTTACCAACACATTCCTTCTCATAACCTTAGCATTAGATACAACCCTGCTCCATTTTTATTCATTTTCTTCGACATATATTGGAGTAAATTTCCTGATTCAAGCACAAACCAAATATATGCATACTAATGTTACTGTATTTTTTCCATATACCTTATCCAATACATTTTATCCATCCTAAAGATACTTGAAAACTACTTGAAAACTACATCATATACAACATTATATTTGTATTATCTATGATTCTGCAAAAACAGAACAGGAAACAAAAGAGTTTGCAAATACCGGGCTTCCAACCAGAAACCTATATAACACGTGCTCGCTCTTATAACCTTATTACCGCACTGTACGTCAATAATATATACATAACATTTTTCAATATTGTTATCATGACAGTAAAAATATGTACAAACAATATTGATTATGCAGCATGGAAAATTGTAAGCTACATTTAAGCACTTACCGTGCTTTTTTAAATATATCAAGGCCAAAAACAAAACTTACCATGAGTTTGTCGTCTCTATCTCTTTCACGCGTACTGATCTGTTATTATTCTCTTTCCCTTTAATATTATGTTTGCTTCCTCCTAGTTGGCATTCATTGGAACCTTTCACTTTGGATGGAGAATCAAGACATACACCAGATATAGAACAATATTCTTCAAAACCAATGCTATCCATCTTTATATTGGTTTGTTGAAGAAATTTACGTGAAGATTCAACATATCTTTTATACTGTTTTTTTGATCTTTTGGTGTTGAACCGACATCATATTCTCCGAATCAGATCTGCAATAATTTTCATCATGCATTAATATTACTCACAACCTATTTAACTGCAAACTAACACATTATACATTCCATGAACAAAAATACGGATACTTGAACATCGATAGCTACAGACTTACCCACATGCATGTCATTTTTCCCCACCATTCTTCATCTTCAACCAGAACTTGAACCGTGCTTTGCTTTCTACAACTACTCCAGGTTATGATAAGCTGCAATGTTGTTCAGTAGAAGTGCTTTTCTGTATTTCTCACTTGGAAACCATTGTAACCCTATGATCCCTAGAACATTCCTTTAGTACTTCCATAACTTTTTTTGCTCAACCTAACGACCCATTTTACATTCCATCTCTATTTTTCCAATAAAATATTCCCTAATAAATACATATTAAATCTTTTTTATATTATATGTTTATACGTATATTTTTAAAATCAATATAGATTACAGTTTTTGTATTATTTTATATAACAACAACATCAACGGTCAAGATTTCATCAATATTAACACACAAGTGAACCCACTCATATATATTCTTCCATTTCCACCGGAGATACACAGAACAAAACCATCTACAAGCCCGACCCTCCCAAAATAGAGCGCCTTCTTCTCCACAGATTATTCGAACATGGCCGCAAGAGATTCCTCCAAAACGACAACCAACTCAAACGAAACACCAACAGGGTATGTGAAAATGTTTAATCTATCATTATTGTTGATTGCATGTGGTCTGATTTGTTAAAATACAAACTTATGTATCTGCTTGTCTGTTGAACGGTGCTCTCATGTGTTCTTGTATAATGTTGTTGATGGTTAATGGTTTGGGAAACAATATATCATGTTTTTTCTGTTACATCAGTGCCTAATACAATTTTGTACAATGATTATTTAGGGTTTACTTCGTCCCGGTAAAAATGCTAACATACTCTTGGCATAAGAGAAACAGTTTATAATAGTTGTATGAGTAATATTTGTTTCCTGTTTTTTTGGTTTAATTGATTCTGTTGAAATATTTAAGGACACGTACCCCTGTTGCTAATAAAAGTTTGGAACAAAGCTGGAATCAAGTTGTGTCTGATCCTATGACCATGCGTTCCAACGCCCTTGTAAGTAAAAAATCATATGTATATATAACTTTCTGTTAGGTACATTGGTGACAAAATTGTACAGAATAGGTTGCTTACGTTTTATTCTTTTCACAATATTTGTTCATTAACAGCAAATACCCATAAACATCATAAGAGCATGCTTTCAGGGAGAAGACAGAATAATTCGGATGTTAGATTGCGACAACAACGTCCCGTACTATTGCCTTTTGAAAAAGAGAAAAGGGAGCGTCGAAAGATACCTTTTGGGTGACTGGTATGAGTATGCAAAGGTAGCAAATTTGAAGGTTGGTGATACACTAGACTTCAGAATCATTTACCCACCTGTTGACGAAATATTTGTATTGGTGGAGCGTGAAAATGTAACTGAGGACTGACGGTCATGGTAGGATATTGTTAGCGTTTTTAGTTTAAATATTTGGCCAATATGTTTGTTTCAAAACTTATGGTATTTCTGTTTCTTTTGAATGTCTTTACCGAAATTATTTTGTGTATCGTTAAACTTATGTATGTTTTAAAATATTGTCTTATCTTATAATTAAGTATGTTTGTTTCCTATAATTCTGTTATTATCATTATGTGACAATTAGAATTAATACACCTATAAGGGAAAATGCTTGACAAAACTTACAATCTTTTATTTTGCACTTTAAAAGAGATTTATATGTTTTCCTATTTCAACCATCATTCATTTTTCATTTTCCTTTTTACCTTGTATTTATAAATATCAATCATATTTATTCATTCCTTTTTTCGTTGAATTTATTTTTTATTACTCCGCTTATCCTTTAAACCAATATTTATAAACTAAATTATTTTGTAAAACTACGTTATATTGTGATGAATTTTTTCCGTAGATTACCATAAATATCAACTAATTCTGAAAATAACATATTGTATTTTTCGTTCAATCAATTATTTCAAAAAATGAGCGTGTCCGACCACTACACGTGCGAACGCATGGATATCCCACGAGTTTCATTTAAATTACAAACTAATATTGATGGTTATTATTGTTTGATGGTTATTTTATTAACCATGTGAGCGGACACTAATTTTCATACTAATATATATTTTTCTTTTAAAATATTGAAAATGTACAAATTAATAAAATAAGAAAAAACTCATAAATAAAAATATTTTGGTTTCTAAATATTTAAAAAAAAGAAAGTATTATGTGATTAAGTTTCTTGAATAACAAATCATTTTATTAGTTTGTCAACTTTTATAATTAATTTTTTGAATAACAAAGCATCTTATTAGTTGGTCAATTTTCATAATTAATTTAAATTTTTTCTAAGATTTTATAATTATGAAATTGTAATGTATAATTGAAAATAATTGAGTATTTTATTTTATTTAAATATATAATAATTTCTTATGATTATCTTATGAATCTTATATAATAGATAGATAAAGAGAGTTTATTTCGAAATAAACACTTACGACTTATTTCAATCTTATTTAAAAAAAAACTGAAAATTTGATAATATAATTAATGTGTCTATTTAAAGTATTGATGTATATAAAATACTCTTCATATTTGTATATAATAAAAATTTTTTATAGAAATTAAATATCCTTTATGCACAATTGTAAAAATTAATGATTCAAGTTGGATAAGATTAGGATGGATGAAAAAAGTATCATTTATGATAATTTAATATTGTTGCGCATTCAGAATTGAATTCGAATTCATTGTATTTGGTTAAGCTAAAAGAAATTGTATTTGGTTAAGCTAAAAGAAAAAATAATTAATATAATTAGAAATTAGATTTTTTTTCAATTTCACTTATTTAGTAATGAACTTATATTTATCTATTTATGCAATTGAAAACAAACGAAGATAGCATATATGACTTAAAATCAATATTTTAAATTTAAACTTTTTGACTAAAAAAAATGTAACTTTCTTAAAACTACTTATTAGTCAAATTATATTAAAAATACTTTCTTAAAAATACTCAAAAAATTTAACTTTCTTAAAAATACTAAAAAAAATTAACTTTCTTAATTTAACTTTCTCGTTATCAATTTCCTTTTGACCCAAAAAAAAAAATTAGAAAACTTTTAATTATTGTATCAGATATTGTATTCAATGTTTATAGAAAGTTATTTGACTCAACTTTTTGTATTGTAATTATTGTATTATCATTTTTCTAAAATTTATATAAACCTTGCAATACATTAAATCGTCTACATAACTCAACCCCTCCATCGCCATTGTTCATCTAACTAGTAAGATATGGCACAAAACATTAATATCATCGATTTGCTACCAAACTCTTTGCTTTTCAAATTCATTTCACTCATTCCATTCAAAGAAGCTGCACGGACATCAATCCTTTCAAAACGTTGGTTGCACTTGTGGAAACACTCAACCAACGTAGAATTTAATGAACACTATTTTTCTAAATCTTACGAATCCAGCCATCAGCAAAGGATAATTCAAAGAACGAATTTTGTCAATTTCATGGCATTTTGGATCGAAAACAACAAAGAAAATTTCATCATTGAAAAATTCTCTTTAAGATTGTCAGATTTTGATCATGAAGTTGATTGTGAGATCCTCGAAAAGTGTGTTGATTTTGCTACAAAACATGGTGTTCAAGATTTGGTGCTTGATTTTTCTGATCCTGATTGGACTGAAGAAGATTTTGAAAAACCTGAAGCATTGTTTGAATTGCCAACAAAGGTATATGAGCAAAAAGCCCTAAAATCTCTCAAATTATTTTCTTGTAGTTTTGTTGAAACTGAGTTGATTAGGTTGAGTGCTCTCAGAGAAATTTCTTTTGCTTGGATGGAATTGAAAAATGATGCCATCAAAATTTTGTTATCCAACTGTAAGATGATTGAGAGTTTAACCATGAAAAAATGTTGGATAAGTACTAAATTTGAATGTCGTGAAAGTAACTCGAGTTTGAAAAGGATTGTTGTTGATAGTTGCAATTTTGTTTCTTATGTATTGGCCATCAATGTTCCTAACCTAATTTATTTCAAGTATTATGGGAATGTCATTTGTTTTGAATTGGAGAACTCCATACATATGGAAGAGGTTGATCTTGACTTTGGTCTTGAATATGAGTTTCCTGAAGAGTGTGGTTTTATTTACAATATCATTACAAATTTCAGCCATGTTAAGGCTCTCGATGTATGCAGTTACACACTTCAGGTAATACAATTTTTTTTTGTATGCGTATAAATATATAATTTTATTGAATATACTCATATATAGAATCTAAGATAAATATTTTAGAAGTACAAGATATATTGTTATTGGGATTTTAGGTCAAAATTTTGAAACATATAATTTAGAATAGAGAATAATATAGAATATGTAAATTAATATGCATTATATTATAGACTCGTCTATATGGACAATATTAACATAAATAATTTGATACACATTTATTTTATGTCATACAAGGTTTTATCTGCTGAGTTGGAATACATGCTTATAGAATATGAAATGAATACTCGACATTTGAAGTTAAAGACAAACTTGCATAATGATGAATGTCAAGGAGTCTCGCTCTTGCTCGAGAATTGTCATGTGTTGGAGATTCTCACTATTAATTTAGGATTTGGAAAATTCTTTGATGTAAGTTTAATTTTTTTTACCTTTTCTTATATATGTGTAAGAGTTGGTACTAGAAGTCTAAAATTATTGAAAATTCTTAGAGACAATATAGTCTTTAATTTTAGTGTCTTTAGTTAACACCTAGACATAGATTTCATGTTTTTTCATCATTAATTCAATTATTTATAGTAGTTGGTATATATTTTTGATAATTTATATAATTTTATTCAAAAGTTTTATACATGTTTGTATACATTATAGAGGGTTTTAGATGACGACGATGAAGATGACGACGACGATGATAATTTGTTAGAGGGTGATGATAAAGATGAATATTCATCTTATGGTGAGAGTGATGAGCAGAGAAGTTGGATAGACTATGAAAATATTTGGCAATGCTTGACATCAACTTTGAAGATAGTTGAGATCAATAATTTTATGGGTACTGAAAATGAGGTTTTATTGCTCCACTTTATTATCAATAATGGAAGTTTCTTACAAATGATCAATATCAATGTGAAAAAGGGAGAGGTTGTGATGGTGGAAAATCATCGTAAGATAGAAGAATTTGTGATGAGTATTCCAAGGGCTTCAAGATATTTAGAGATATGTTTTCGTTATTGAATTTAGAAATGTTTTGTTATGATACTTTGTTATTTTGTTTGAATTTTAAGGCATCATTTGACATAGTTTTTGTTATTAGATTAATTATACATGTATGCGTGTATTATTTGTTTGTATTTTTTGTAATAAACTTTCACCACAGTCATACTGTTCACCGTGGTAAAATCTATTCATTTAGGTACTTTTCTTTTTCTTAACTTCAAAACATATTTTTGATATCACAAAGACATGAAGTTGATGTAGATATGAATGATCGACTAGAATATATAATTTTTGATATCGGAAAATATTCTTAAATGGATGGCATACATGTCTAAATTTAATGTAGTAACTTGGTCTGCATACGATATTAGTAAATTTTCCTATTATACAAAATCAAAGGATGATTGTAATACAATGCGAAATAGTAGGGTTATGGTTGAAAGTGAATTCATGTACTTCTATAGTTCTAAAGATAAAAATCTCATAATGGTATCTAGACCGTATTTTGGAGTCATTGAGGAGATTTGGGAGATTGATTATGTGGTATTTGAAGTGCATTTATTTAAATGCAAATGGATTGATACTAACACTAGTGTACAAACTTATGAGTTAGGATTCACAGAGGTTAACCTTCACAAGACAACTTATATGAACGAAACATTCGTCAAGGCATCCCAAACAAAACCAATGTTTTATGTAACTGACCCTTTTAGTAATAGATGATCAATTATTCTCCAAGGAAAATACATTTCTCTTAGTGATGAAAATAAAGATTTAAATCTTGATATTTGTTGATGCAGTAAAGTAGCAATCAAAAGTAAGTATTTGTTTTATCGTCTCCACAAGGATTAGTGTGATATCAATGACGTTCAATAGTCACTATGATTTTAAGCTTAGGTTTGCAAGTTGTTGGAAAGTTTAAAGTTACAAAATGTAAAACGAATGAAAAATAAAGTTTCAGAGAGAAGAGAACTTGTCAGGATTGGATTTCATCTACCGGAAGAATATGCACTTTACCAATCAGTTATATACAATGTAAATATTCATAAATACCATCATGTATCTCTCACAACAACGTTTATGTATAAACATCTAATGAGATTTAAACCTTTTAATCGACGATCTCTTATCCTATTAAACACTTCCTACCTTATTGTTTAATCGACGATCTCTCTTCCTATTAAATAATACGGAGCATTAAGAATCAATACTCTCTGTGAATGTTACATTAGATCTACGTTTATAGTTTTGAATCTAAGAAATGTTCATCTTAGTTCAAGTTTCGAATCGTATTTCTCAATAACAATTCAAACCCATCAGATATAAAGTAAAATAAAGATAACATCGATATAGATTCACAAATAGATTGTATACAACGTCGTCATTAACAAAAATACATACTAAAATAGTATACTTACATCCAATTCCATCAAGAAATAGATTTAGCTACTCATGATAGCTAAATACAAAGAGAAGAGTTAAGATGAACAAGCATTAACTTTGATTTCCCAAAGATCGATGTGATCCCAGCTCCTGGTCTTCAAGTTACACACTCACTTGTTGCTTTCTAAGCCTCCCCCCACCCTCTCTCTCTCCCCCCTCTCTCGCTCACCAAAAATGTGTTCTTTTTTCAAAAGTCACAATTGAAGTCTATTTATACGAAACTGAAAATAGCAGACCGCGCTAAGCACAAAAGTGGTGCTTAACGCCAAATCCCAGAAATACATGTTAAACCGCCTTAAATTGCACTAAGCGCGAAAAAAGGGCACTGAGAAAACGTCTGCCCCTGATTCTCTAAGCGCGCTTTGAGCTTGCTAAGCCCAACCTGCAACACTTGATTTCCTTCCAAAAATGCATCTTGAAGCTTTTCTTTGTTCTTTAACGCCCAATGCTCCACCAATGCAATGAAACCTACAAAATAAGTTAGAATTGAGTAAACTACACAATATTTACATAAAAGTTGAGGTTTTAACTATTGAAACCAAAGAATTAAGCTATTAAGTGCCACAAAATACTACTACTAATAATAACCAACATTTGGCCCTTATCAAACTCCCCCCAACTTAAAACTTTGTTTGTCCTCAAACAAGAATCTTACAAACCTAGAGAAACAAGAGCAACCTCCAAGAATTCACGATCAAACAAGTTTATAGAAATGAAAACAAATGTATGGTTCAAATTTCAAAAGTACAAATAAAGTAATGCTTACCACTATACTACAACAACATCATGCTCATAAAACAAATTCTATGCACAAAACACATGTAAAAAATTCTAAGACAATACATGTTCAAACCTGAATCACACCTAGCATGCAACTTCATCAAAGGATGAAGAATAAAAATGAGGGACTTGACTCTCACCCAAAAATCTTGCTAACATCTTGATTAAATTATGCATTCATCCAAAAAAATCTCATGTTGAAAGAATAAAACCACAAATCACAAGGACTTTTAAGGTTTGTAATGTGGCTTGGTTAACAAAGAAGGGTCATATATCAAGGTAATTGAAACAAAAATTTCCTAAACATATGAGAACAATCACTTCTCAAATTCTCAAGCAATAAAAAATTATTTACCCTTTCCTCTTTGCTCATTTGCTACAACCTTGAACACAACAACATATTAGCACAAAATTTTGCTACTTTTTTCTTTTTTAAGGCTTTTCTTTTTCTTTTCCTTTTTCATATCTCAATTTTTTTTTCTTTTTCAACATATTTCTTTTGCAACATCATAGAAACCAACCTTGTCTCCCCAACTTGAATACAATCGCACATTGTAACATGAATGCTCCCAAACTTTCTAAGGCAAGGGAAAAAATTCCAACCATAATTTATTGTTGATGGTTCAAGTGTTTCAAGAAACAAAATCAACATCCATTCAAAAATCAATGATGAACTAATTACTCATGCAAAAGTATCATAGTTCAACTCTGATATGGATCCTAACACAAAGGCTTAAAGGGGATTAATTAATTCTCGCTTACTCACAAGATAGCTCACTTTTGGTCAAGTGGTTTTACTGAAAATCAAACAAAATTCCTTGATCCTTTTCATGCTTTCAGAAAAATCAACACAAATGCAATATTAAACATAACAAAACTGAGTTAAAACAATGATTGTTGGTCTCCTGCACATATAGTGAATAATGGAATGTTTCCTCACATTTGACTTTTGATCTAAAGTGATTCAACTATGAACAAGTATTGCAAAATAATGAATGACATGATATTTGTACAAATTAAGTTTCATATTCATGGTATATTCTGGAAAACAATAAACATGTACCTTGATAATGTACCAACATCAAACACTATCATTACCACACATTTTCATGTTCATCAATCAAACTTGGAAAAATTACCCAATGCATCTTCAAGGCATTAGACCAATTTTTTTTAATACAAACATAAAAAAAGATAAATTTAGAAATTAACTACTACTATTTACTACTCTAAATGGATCTGGGTGAAAGTGGGCAAGTGGGACGAGTAAAAATAAATTTCACTGGCTCAGTAGGGTGCACTTAGCGCCACCAGAGTTGTGCTTAGCGCACGCATAGATTCAGGGCGCGCTCAATGCTATCAGGTCGCGCTCAGCGAGTGTAGGTCTATGTTGAAACTAAAAAATGCACCAAAATTTCATGCTTTTCATCTACTTTCACCAACACTACCTATACTACTTAAATGAGAAGCTGTTAAAATTTTAAAAAGTTGGGTTTCCTCCCAACAAGCGCTTGTTTTACATTGTTAGCTCGACATCTTTATATAGTATACGGTCCTTCTTTTTGCTTCCGTTTTCTTGGCTAGTTGTTTCTTCACCTGAAGTTACCACTAACCAACAGTTGAGTGAACTTTATGCAAATCTTAAAAAGATATAAACTATTGCGATGCAATTAATATCTAAACACAAATCCACGGTAACGACGCTATTTTGTTGTTGAAGTAAAGTAGCAATAAAAAATAAGTATTTGTTTTATCATCTCCACATGGATTAATGCGATATCAATGATGTTCAATAGTCACTGTAATTTTAAGCTTGGGTTTGTAAATTGTTGGAAAGTTTAATGTTACAGAATGTAAAACGAATGAAAATTAAAGTTTCAGAAATAAGAGAACTTGTTAGGATTGGATTTCATCCAAAGAAAGAATATATGCACATTACCAATCAGTTATACACAATATAAACTTTCATCAATACCATCACGTATCGCTCACAACATCGTTTATGTCTAAACATTTGATGATATTTAAACCTTTTAATCGACAATCTCCCGACCTATTAAACGATCTCAGTTTATTAAACAATACATAGCATTAAAAATCGATAGTCTCTGTGAATATTAGACTAAATCTATGTCTAGAGTTTAGAATCAAACAGATGTTCATCATAGTTTATGTTTTGAACCGTATTTCTCAATAAAAATTCAAACCCATTAAGATAAAAAGTAAAACAAAGATAACATCAATATAGATTCACAAATAGATTGTATACAATGTCATGATTAACAAAAATACATACTAAAACAGTAGAATTACATCCAATCCAAACAAGAAATGGATTTAGCAACTCATGGTAGCTAATTACAGAGAGAAGGGTGAAGATGAACAAGCATTAACTGTGATTTCCTAATGATCGATTTGAACCCAGCTCTCGGTCTTCAAGCTACACCCTCACTTGTAGTTTTCTAAGCCTCTCTCTCTCTCTCTCTCTCTCTCTCTAAAAAAGTGTTCTTTTTTTGAAAATCGCAACTGAAGTCTATTTATAAAAAATTGAAAATAGCAGATCGTGCTAAGCACAAAAAGTGGCGCTTAGCGCCAAATCCCTAAAATACACGTTAAGTCGCCTTAAATTGCGCTAAGCGTAGAAAAAGGGCGTTGAGCGCGAAAATGTATGGCCCTGATTCCCTAAAAGTGATTTGAGCTCGCTGAGCCCAATTTGCAGCACTTGATTTCCTTCTAAAAATTCATCTTGAAGCTTTTCTTTATTCTTTAACGCCCAATGCTTCACATTTGCAATG